GCAGCAGTCTGAACCACTACAGCAGCAGTGACAATGAACCATATAAGCAGTGGCAATTCTGCTTAAGAATGGAAACCATAAATGACTAACTATGAGTGTCAAGAAGACGAACTGAAGGATCCAGATATAGTTTAGGCACCATATACCGTGCATCAAGGTGAAGCATGGCTGTCATTACAAATAGTCAAATTCAGCATTTAGGCATGCAACATCTCGCACTTGTACGATCAGTTATAAATACATAATGATGTATTGCCCAGATCAGATTTTTAGCCAGGGAAGTAACGTATCTGGCCTCTAATGCAGCTAGTGTCTATTCAAGCTAAAATATTGCAGGAGATACTCCAAACTTTGCCTGATGTAAAAACTAGAGGACATCAGGAAGTGCAACACACATACACCACTGCAAGCACTCAGAAAAGATTTTTTTGGCCACAATCATGTAAAGGAATGGTATAGATACTGTATACTATATGTGCTGCTGAAAGCATAGCCATATATCTGGTCTTCTATCCAATAGTGAAAAGATAATGAATTTTCAGTTTGACTCATATTATCAATTATTCTTTCATTCTTTCCTGGATTACAACTCCAGTCATCCAATATCTATATTTGTCGTTTATAAAATTCTGGATCTCATTTGACCCAGAAGGCTGGACTTTTGGCTATTTTGGATATTAAGAGTTATCCTCTAGATATAATCAATTCAGCTCACATGGTGCTGCAAAAAAACAACTATAATACTGCACTAGGAAGAAAAAAGGGTTATCAAAAAATCAAGTCCCTCTGACATTAACATTTAATCTGAAAAACAGTCAGGTTTATCACATAATTAAAAACAATTTTGGGATATTTGAAAGCAAGAAAACTTTGGGAGATACGTTTGAATATAAGCCAATCACTTGTATTGACACAGAGAAAAACCTTGTACTTAACATATCATTAAAGGACAGCAAGGGGCCTTTTGTTCCATCTATGCTGTCTTATCCACTAAATTAAACTAAACCATTAAAAAAAAAACTTCAAAGCCATCCCGTATCATTCAAATACTTATCAAGCTTTCCCTCAAAATCCATCAAATTAACTGAATCCTAAAACAATCCATTCTAGAGGCCAACCACCCCATTAGAAAAATATAGCTGTGTAAGCTGAACATGTATTCTTCCCTGCAAAAATTTATATAAAATCTCCTAGTTTTATCATTCTCATCATCAAATATGAAAAAGATAATGCATCAACATTATCAATTCCCTTAACAATCTCAAACACCAAAATCAGATCCCCTCTAACTTTTTTTTTTCAAGAGAAAACAAGTTCAGAGATATCAACCTATCGCAGGTATCATCCAAGTAGCCCTCCTCTGAGTCCTTTCTGAGGTAAAAAGTTCCAAACTGAACACCATCTCAAAATGTGTCCTAACCAATGACCTATACAATGGCATTATAACCTCTTTAGGGTTGTATTCAATATTTCTATAGATACTACCTAAAATCCTATTTGCCCTGCCATTAGCAACAGTACATTGCTTGAATGGCTTAAGAGACTGATCAATCAGACACCAAGATCCTTTTCTTTCAAACACTTTTAGGTTATTCCCCCAAGTTGTACTTATAATTCAAAATGTTATATCCTATATGCATTAAATTGCACTCATTAAAATTAAAACCCATCTGCTATTTATTTGCCCTACTCACCAAATAATCGAAATCTTTTTGTAAGGCAGTAGCATCCTTCTCACAGTCAATGACACCCAAAACCTTAATATAAGCAAGTTTAAATAATCTCTGTCATTGATGTAAATCAAAAATAGCAAAGATTCTAACACTGAACTCTGAGGTACTTCACGTATAACATTAATCCAGTTTGACTTAGCTCCATTTACAACAACCCTCTACTTTCTTCTGTCTATCCAGTTTTATATCCAATGAGCCAACATATTACCCACACCTTGATTTTAACAATACTTGTCTGTGGCACCTAGTCAAATGCTTTTTGAAAACCAGACATACCACATCAACACCTGCACCCTATTCTAAGTAAACAGCAACCTCTTCAAACAATGTCAAAAGATTAGTAAGGCAAGATTTTCCCCCATTGAAACCATGCTGACTATCTAACAAGATTTTAAACCTTAACTTTTTAAACTTCCTTGGTCATGCTTCTGTATCAACCTTCCCCTGGGGTAAGAGTCATACTAATGTGATGGGGTGGTGAAGAAACTTGTAAATATTAGTATGAGCTGGGATTTAATCCTCCATTGAATGTTTAAAAGAGAAAGATCACTGGTATAGATACTGTGATTTAAAGAAAAATTTGTTTTCACAGGATGAAGAAATTCTTCTTCTCGCATCAGTAGCTACACTTAATTCAATACAGAAGTTGGACAAACCACTGCAGTAAGATCACAACATATTGTTACGTCTCTGTATGTTTGTTT